AGACTTGCTTATTCTATTATTATAGAAATATATTGTCACCAATCATCTTTTTAAATTTAATTCAATTTTTGGAGCTTTGGATATAGGGAAGAAAGAAAGAAAATAATACTGTGTACATATATATGTGTGTTACAAACAGATGCAGACTAATATATACACATGTATATGTAAATATATATGTATGTCTACATAAAAATTAGTTTATTTAGAAATATATTAATCTCACAGTATGAAATAGATTGTCCCCTACAGAAGGTCATAATCTTTATTTATATCATTCTTTATACAATTTATATTTTATAATGCATATTCAATATATTTTAAGGAATCATTTATACTTTTAAGATGGCCAGCATTTCAAGTTTAAGATCTGACAATATCTATCATTGCACATTTTTGTGGATAAGGTCACACAGTCATTTGTTTCCAAGTCTTTCTGTTCTTCCTGATCATTGAATATCAGACAGCCACTTATTGTCTTTTCTCTCTCCTTTTAACACTGTTTAACTGATTATCAAATGTGTGACTAGTTCTATGGACATACATGGTGAATATTTATGGAAAGGGGAGAGAGCCAAAAGAACAAAAATGATCAGAGTGAGAATGAACTGCTTTCTACAAGGCACAAAGCAAAGATTGGGGATAGAGTGGTCTCAGAGTAAGGAAATAAGTTATGATAAGGAATTAGAAAAGATGTGTAAAGTAGGTAGCAGGATTATATTTGCTTAGCAATTTTAAAACTATAGAGAATAGTAGACAGATATTTTTAATTAAACTTGTTCTGAATGATAATATACTTGGAAATCCTCTAACGATGTTTAGATTTGGGTGCAATGATTGATGTTTCTTCTCTCTGAGTCTGGAGAACATGGTCGTGGTTGGGATAAAGTAATTCAAGTAGTGCAAACAACCACCCCAGTTATTGTCAAGATGGGTAAAAAAGCTTTATAAGCAATTGCAATATAAGGTGAAACAGAAATACTACATTAAAAGCTTTACAATAATTATGTAACTGAAAAAAAGATGGATACATAACTTAGGATATTTATATAACCGTTGTGGTTTATGCTTTAGCATTAACTGGATCTATTATAATGATTATAAGGCAAAATTAATCAAGGTAATGTGAGTTTAAAATAACTCAGAATAGTTTGGATGATTCTTCAATATCTTTACAGTGCAACTTACATAGTTCTAATAAGCGCTAACTGAAAGGCTGTAGGTTTGAACTTACTCCTTGATCTGCTTCCGGAAAGATTACAGCCTAGGCAACCCACTAGGGAAGATTTACTCTGTCACAGGGGATGGTTATGAGTCAGAATGGACTTGGTCACATCCAATAACAAAAGGAATATGAGTATATTTTTTTATTCATGAGTGTTGGGGTGCACAGAATATTTAAAATTACTTTATTACTTATTAATTACATAATTGGGGACAAAAAGAAGCAGCAAGTGCCACAAAACAAAGTACCGTCATGCGTAGTGAAAGGACCACTATTTTTATGTGCTCATGCTGCTAACAAAAGAGTTGCTCCCCAAATAAATGACCAGAATGTCTGAGTCATATTTACTTCATTTAAGAGTTGAGGTTTTAGATTCTATTACAGATATGATTGTATATTTTAGTTAAATAATAAATTACCAGAACTTTGCTATTAAAAGTTCTTTTTAATCTACACATTAGAATATTATTTTATATATTGCTGACAGAATAATTCTTAATAGATTTTTATTTATAAGTCAAAATTCTTTTGGACTTAGAGATGTATATTTGCTCAATCATTTTGGAAAAATAAATCTAAAATGCTGAGTGGAGTGTGGTAGTTATATAATGGTCAGTTTAAGGATTTAGCATATAGGGGTGGAGTCTAGCCTGTCAATCAGTTCATAGCGAATGAGGCTTCTGTGTGGGCATAGTCTTCCCCTAAGGATTCTGGGAATTCTGATATTTTTCCTCCTTGGTGGTGGGAGACTCTCTGCTCACACCCTGGGAGACATAGCAGCTGACAAGACACATGGACTCACCCTGCTGCAGTCCTGGGTGCTGGAGAAGCCATGCAGAGACCCCTGCCAGCGCTGAAATGTTTCCAATGCTACTGGATCCAAAGACTTTCTACCCACTGGCCTCTGATCTTCTACATTCAGCGTCATTGCATGTGTTTGATGAGTCTGAAGAGGACTTTATAGATTGGTATCGGACATATGGGCTAATATCAGACTTATGAACTTGATCTAGACTGGGCTGCAATGTTTTCTCACTATTCAATTGCGCTTGTAATTGCTCTTTCTTATACACATATGTGTGTGTCCATGGATTTGTTTCTCTAGTCTACCCAGGCTAACACACTGAGTTTGTCTGATCATTGTATAGGGAGAGTTGCCACCAGACTGCTGTTCAACCTACTTCTCTACAGGATTGGGGGTAATCATTGTTAGCATGGCATTTTGAGATGGATTTTAGTCCTGTAAACAGTGTCTAAAACTGATGCCTTTCTCAGAAGTGCACATAAATTGTAGATGTCATAAAAACTGCTTGACAGGAGAGGTGAAATTGATCGTAGATTACTACTGAAAGTATGATTGACATCAAGACAATGCAAAATCTCTGACTGACGGAAACAGAACCTTTAGTGGACTCCTTTTGAACCCATGAGAAGAGCTGTCTACCAGCATAAATAGGGAAAATGACTGATGATGAGAAAAGGAAAAACAGGAACTGCTTATACTTTACATTGAGGGATAAAGGGGACCTAAATTTTTCCCCATAAATTAGTGATTCTCAAACCTACACACCCATCAGAATGATTGATGATGTTTATTAGCAATAAAAGTTCACAACCGCAAGTTCAAATCTAGAGAATCATAACCTCAAAGGTGGAATTTTGGTATAAGTAATATTTTTAAGTTCCCACAGATGATTATCCTGTTGTTATGTGCCATTCAGTGAGCTCTGATCCATAGCGACCCTAGCACACCAGAAGGAAGCACCGCATAGTCCCGTGGCATCCTCACAATTGTTCTATGCTGAGCCCCTTGATGCAGCCACTGTGTCAGCCCATCTCCTCGAATGCCTTCCTCTCTTGTACCACCTCTCCACTCCACACACGATGCATTTCTCCAGAACTGGTCTCTCCTGACAATACGTGCAAAGGATGTAAGACAAAGTCTTGCCATCTTTACCTCTTAGAAGCTTTGCTTCTTCCAAAACAAGTCAGTTTGTCATTTAACAGTCTATGGTATTTTCCGTATTCTTCTGCAGCATGACAATTCAAATAAGTGTACTCTTCTATGGTCTTCCTCATTCATTGTCCAACTCTCACAAACATATCATGCAGTGGAAATGCCAGGCAACTTAGTGCTCAAAGTAAAACCCTTGCCCTTCAATACTCTAAAGACATGTGTGGCACAAATATACCTAATACAACTCTTAGTTTGATCTCTTGGCTGCTACTTCCATGAGTATTGATTGTGGATCCAAGTAAGACAAAATCTTTGACAATTTCAACCTTTTCTCCATTTATCATGATGTTATCTGTTGATCCAGTAGTGAGGAGTTTAGTTTTCCTTACTTTGAGCTGTAATCCACACTGGAGGCTATAATATTTGATCTTTAACAGGAAATGCTTCAATTCCTTCTTACTCTCAGCAAGCATGGCTACATCATTTACATACCACACATTGTTAATAAGCCTTCCTCCAATCCTGATGCCACACTTTTCTTCATATAATCAAGTTCCTCTGGTGATTTGCTCAGCATATAGATTAAATAAAAATAGTAATAGGATGCATCCCTTATGCACACTTTTCCTGATTTCATACCATGCAGTATTCCCTCATTCTGTTCGCACAACTGCTGATCCATGAACAAGTTTCAATAAAGTGTTCTGCAGTGCCCAAACTTCTCAAGACTATCCATATTTTACTATGGTGCAAACAGTTGAATGCCTTTGCATCATCAATGAAACACAAATAAACATGTTTCTGGGATTCTCTGTTTTGAGCCACCATCCATCGGACCTCAGCAGTGACATTCCTTTTTCCATGTCCTCTTCTGAATCTGGCCTGAACTTCTGGCAGTTCCTGTCAATGTACTGCTGGAAAGATAATTATCATAAATTACCATATTTGGGGACAAAATTTAGAGAATAGTTTTATGGCAAAATACCAGACAATTATGCTGAGGATAATTTTTAACAGGGTACAGCAGTACATTGACAGGAAATTTCCAGAAAGTCTAGCCAGATTCAGAAGACAATGTGGAAGAAGAAATCATGGCTGAAAGTGAGGAATATTAAAACAATGTTTACTGCTGTTTTATTGACTGTGCACGGATATTTGACTGTGTAGATTAGAACAAATTTTGGAATTTCAGATCACGAAATTGTGCTTGTCTAGAAACTGTAAATACACCAAGTGTAGCTCATTTGAAGACAACAAGGGGAGACTAAATGGTTTGAAACAAGAAAAGGGTCTGTTAAGGGATTGTTTCACATACTTTTTCAATCTGTATGCTGAAAAATCATCTGAGAAACTACACTATGTGAAAAATAAATCAACATCAAGATTGGAGAAAGACTCATTAGTAACCTGGCATTCACACGTTGCTTGTTGAAGGGACTTGCTGATGAAAATCAAAGACTGTAACCTTCACTCCAGTTGGAATTCATTGTAAAGACAACAAAAATCCTTATAACTGGACCAATATGAAGCATCATGATAAACGGAGAAAACATGAAAATTGTCAAAGATGCCCATGGAAACAACAGCCAAGAAATCAAGAGTGGAATGTGGTAGACAAATCTACTGCAAAAGACTCATTTGAAGTGTTTTTTTTTTTAACACCAATAGCTATTTTTTAAAGTAATGTATTTGCAACCTATAGTGGGTTTTAAATTAATAATGCATTTCAGGTTTAATCAACTTCATTAAAATACTCTGAGGACAGCTGTACTCACTGAATTCAATGACGTGATCACTTCTTGGCCCATTCTTTTTCTTTCATTTCCAAATCACCTCGTTCAGATATGGTCCTAGGTAGAATTTATCCGCCTCATATTTTGTCCACTGCTCTTTAGGCAAAATTTGTTGCCTCGTGGTCAGATCCAAGGCTATCTTCATGCAAAACATCCAGTCATTATAAAGGTTTTCAGGAAGCCCTCTTAGGGCTTCTTTAACATCTCCGTTCTCCTGTGTTGTATCAACTTGCATTAACCCGAGTTTATTGAATCCTGCAGCATTGTAGTATCATTAATGAATGCCATCTAGTCACCGATGGATCCGCCCACCATTTTAACTCTAGTTAAAGTATTATATATCTATATAGTATTATATATGATATACAAAGTATTATATATATAATATATATTACTCAGTGGACTATATATATAATATATAATATATATAATATATATATTACTCAGTGGACTAACATGTGCCTGTCCCAAACCATAATCTTTTCAATTGCTTCATATGCATTCAAAAACTGGATAATTAATAAAGACTGGAGAGTTTATGCCTTTTTTGTTTGTTTTAGTGCACAATGAATAATTTATTCCAATCTAATTAGGAAAAATCACTTTTTGATTAACTTTTAAAACAATGCATTAAAAATATCTCTTAAAATATTGCACATCCATACATGGAAAACACTCATGTACCTATTGTGATCTACCTTCAGCCACAATATTCTAGACTTCACTTAAATTCAATATTTTCTCTTTATGTCAGCCTTACCCTTTGTTCTCCTACTTTCTTTCTTTTTAATTCGTTGGCATTTAATATACCCAACATATCATCCATATTTCAATCACATCAAGTAGAAGTGTACAATTGCTACCACTATCAGTTTCCATTCTTTTTCTACAAGGACCCCTTGCCATCCTCTCACTTTCACTCTCCCACCACCACTGTAACCCTCTCCCCCAAACACCTTTATTCTACTTACAGTCCCTGTAGGTTCAATACTCCTGGGTTTCCTATATTGGAAAATAGAAATGCATATAATGGAGCTTCAAGAAGGTGACCTCCATTGGCAAATACCTCTGAGATATACTCTTCTACAAACAAACAAACAAATCAATACAAAGCAAAAATACAAAAAAAAAACTAAAAACCAGATCAGTCCAGCCTGAATCATTGCAAGGTGGGGAATCTACTGACAAAGTTTTAATTGTTTAGGACAGATTTATGCCTTTGGTCTTCTGTACCCCTCTCTCCTAAGCTCTCTGTTTAGTTACCACTTTTATTCCATCACTCCATTTTAGAAAAGGGGAGTTATCTGGAGCTTATTTCCATTGTAATTCCACAATGAAAATTGGACCCCCACTGTCATCCATCATCTTCCGAACCCTGGAGTCTCACAATTTGGGCTCTGATAGTGATTCCTCCTTCAACTTCAAATTATATCGATTCCAATCCTGCCATGACTGATGGTGTGTACTTCTTCCATGTGGACTTAGTTGACATCTCACTTAGATGGCTGCATGTTTGGAGATAAGCCCTTAAGACCCCAGACACTATTTTATCTGATAGCTGGGCACCACCTAAATTCTTTGCCACATGTTGCTATGCTACCCATATCTTCTATGGTCCCTTCCTGAGGGCGAGTTTTGAGGGTCATGATGTAAGAACTAACTGTTCTTATGTTGATCTAGGATTTAGTGTGAGCCCCAGATCCATTGCTTGATCTAAGCTTTCCTTTTATCTTTTAAATTTGCTGTAACTTGGGAGTTAATACCTATGCCACATTGTCCCATAGTTCAAACATGTCAAAAAATTGTACATTTGCTTCCATGATCAGACTCCAAACATACTTTTTCTTACTGGACTCCTTGACATCATCTCCCTATTATCTCCACCCTAATTGTATCCCCCCTCCCCTGAAACCCTTATTCTATTTGCTGTTCCTATAGGCTCAGTATCCCTGGGTTTCATTTACTGAAAAACAGGGAAACAATACAACTTCAAGAGGGTGATCCTTGATGGTGATGCACCTCTGTGATACACCCTAATATGAACAAAGTTAAGCAACACGATAACAAAATGGCCTTCCCAGAATTCCCAGAATGATACTATAGGGCAGTGGTTCTCAACCTTCCTAATGCTTCCACCCTTTAATACAGTTCTTCATGTTGTGGTGACCCCCAACCATAAAATTATTTTTGGTGTTACTTCATAACCATAATTTTGCTACTGTTATGAAACAGGAAACCCCTTGTGAAAGTGTCATTCGACCCACAAAGGGGTCGCGACCCACAGGTTGAGAACTGCTGCTATAGGGCATTGATATAGAAAGGGCTTCTTTGCTAACCAACAGTATACAACTCTTGGTACAGCTGACTTCCGCTTCCTCAGACACCATATGGTTTCCAGCTCAAATCCTCAGATGACAAGTGTGTCTGAGGTAGAATCCAGTTCACCCTTAGGAGTTCCCACATGGGGTCCCTGATGCAGCCTCTGGAATATGCTGGGTGGTCCAAAGATCCAGAATTCAGAGTCCCCGCATTCCATGGCACCAGGCCTCGGTTCTGGGGATACCCCAGAAGTCCTAGTACAAGTTTGCCCACCCTCTGCATGCCACCAAAGACCCTTCCCACCTACTGTTCCCAAGAGCATCCTCAGTGTCTCCTCCCCACACTTGGAAGTCAGCCCTTTCTCTCCTCACCTCAACAGACATGCACCTATGTTCCCCCCACAGATGACCTTTCCCTCTCCCCTCTCCTGCACTGCCTCTCCCATCAGTAAGTCTGGTCCCTGAGAAGTTCGCCTGCCCCTCTGGGGGACCTCATCCAGAGGGACCTCATCCACATAGCAACCACTCAGCAGAAAACATCCCCAACAGTTTGATCCCACTGTTGTGAGGTGCCCTCTGGCCAGGTGATCTACGCTACTCTTAACTGGAGCAGATGATGAATGGTTCGTTGGCACTGGTCCAGCTCTTCACCAGGCTGCCTGGTCCCCAGGCTGAAGACGGTGCCCAACAAGCTTGAACTTATGCCCATTCTGCTGGTTTTTCCTACTGCAGTGAACTCATACAGTATTTGTCATTTTGGACTTGACTAACTTCACTCAGCATAATGTCTTCCAGATCCTTCCACATCTTGTGGTGTTTCACGATATAATTGCTATATTTTTCAGGGATTCATAGTATTCCATTGTATGTTTGTACCAGAAGTTTTTATCCACTCTTCTATTGATGGGAGTTTAGGGTGTTTCCAGCTTCTTGTGATTTTGAACTGTGCTACAATGAACATGGGGGAGCAAACATCTGTTCATGATCTGTTCCTTATTTCTTTAGGGTATATGCCCAGTAAATGTATTACTGGATCATATGGTAGTTTATTTGCTGTCTTAGTTATCACCATAATGCCTTTCCCAGTGACCGTACATATTTACAAGTCCATCATCAGTGAATAGCTCAACATACCCTCTCCAACATTTATTGTTCTCATTTTATTTTTTTAATTGGGGTACAGTTTTGGGTGTTCGTTGGTATCTAGTGGTTGTTTTGACTTGTATGTCTTGAATGGCTAATGACTGGGAGGATTTCCTCATGTGTTTATTAGCCATTCAAGTGTCATCCTTTGTGATGTGTCTGTTCAGGTCCACTTTTTTCAGAGGGCTGTTAATTTTTTCTTATAAGTTTGATAAATTCTGTAGATTTGGGTAATTAGTCCTTCCTCTGTTATAGTGTTTCTAAATATCTTTTCCAAATGTGTGAGCTCTCTTTTACTCTTTTGATGTAAACAAGTGTTTTATTTTTGATAGGTCCCATTCATCCATTTTATCTTTCATGGAGTGTATTTCTTTTTGATTTCTGATAGCTCGTGTATTCCCTGCACTTGGTCTCCTGGGTTTGTCCCTATTTTCTCATTGATGCTCCTGATAGCTTTGGGTTTTACACTTAGGTCTTGGATCCACCTTGAGTTTGTTTTTGCACATGGAGTGAGATATGGCTCTTGTTTCATTCTTCTGCAAAGGGATGTTCAGCTTTTTCAAGACCATTTATTGGAGAGAGTGTTTCCTTCCCATTTAATATTTTTTTGGGGGGGTGGCTTTTGTCAAAAATCCTTTGTCTGTATATGGATATTTTTATTTCTGGGTTTACTGTCCTGATCCATTTGTCAGAGTATTTATCATTATACCATTACCAGATTGTCTTGACAATTGTGGTTGTATAGTAGGCTTTGAGGTCACATAATGCAAGACTGCCTACTTTGTTCTTGAGGAGTGCTTTGTCTATCCAGGGCTCCATTCTTTATCATATGAAGTTTGTAATCACTTCTTTGAGGATTCATTTGATGAATTTTGAGGGTCTTTTGTTAGATGCAGATCTGTTTATTATCTTAATGGGTTACTGCTCAATTGATCCCATGAGCATTATGTAATGCTCATTCTTACATCCCATTATACCATGGTCCTTTAGCTCTATTTTGTCAGAGATTAGCATTGAGCCCTGCTTCTCTTTTAATTTATTTTTATTGCCAATAGCTTGGTAAAGTTTTCATTGTCCGTTGACTGTCAGTATATTTTTGTCTATGAATTTGAGATGTGTTTCTTGAAGGTAGCAGAATGATGGATGTTGTTGTCTCATCCAGTCTGCTACTCTTGGTCATTCAACAGGTGTGTTTGAACCATTCATATTCAGTGAAATGTAAATGTAGATTTGTTGCTGTCATCTCATACTATTTATGTTCATTATTTTCCTTTTTTTCTCCTTTATAGGGTGATGTGTATGTTTGAGGAGTTAATTCTTGTCGTTGTTTCTCTGTTGGATCTGTAGTGTTTGGGGTACTATTTTCCATGTTTTGGTTTCTGGGAGGTGTGACACCCTGTGATGGTATCATGTTTGTGTGCTGTGGTTCTTGGTTTTCTGCCCATAAAGAATTTGAAAATATTTTTTGTAATGCTGGTTTCATTTTTACAAATTCTCTAAATGTTTCTTTATTTGAGAAAATGTTTATTTCTCCTTCAAGTTTGGTAGAGAACATTGCTGTATAAAGGATTCTTGGATCGCAAGTGTTGTCTTTTTGGAATACATTGCTCCAGGGTTTTTTTTCCCCTGCATGATCTCTGTGTTAGTCTGGGTACATTAGAGAAACAAATCCACAGAAACTCATATGTATAAGAGAGAGTTTTATATAAAGGGTAAGTGCACATCAAGAAAATATCCCAACCCAGTGCTGCCCAAGCCCACAAGTCCAACATTA